GAAAATTCTAAATGAAAATTCATTTGTAATTTTTCTCAATTATGGTGATTTTTAGTCTTGTTTTTAGTAATTTCAATCGAAATATCGGGTCTTTTAATATAGAAATCATTAATAAAATAAGGGACTTTTCTATTTTTCGGAGTTATAAAGCGCGCTAAACTGCTAGCCGTGCGCATCATCACAATAACATGCGATAAAAAAAGAGGAACGTGTTTTTTATTTTGTTTTTTTTTTTCTTAGAGGTCGCGCTGGTCGGTTTTTTATAAAAACGCTGATGTTCTCAATTTTTTTATTTTCTTGACATGTTAAAATGCAGCTAAAAAATTGTTCTTTACATATAATTACTCTGGTATTACTGGGGAACATTCCCTTAATTATATGCCTGTCTTGGGCAGTTACAATGGGCCTAGTGCCCGAAAATATGCTCTCGAAGAAACTAGTAAAATTAAAACGGGTTGAAACTTGTTACCAGGGGGTTTCTGGGGTTGCTAATTAGGGATCTGAAGTCAGTTTTTCGAAATTCAAAATGGCGGATCCAAAATGGCGGTCCATTTTTTTTAATGATTGGATTTGTTCGAAACCCGGCACTCGAGAGTTTTTGTAGTCGCCGATTACGAAGTTGAATTAAATTTTTTTAAATTCAAAATGGCGGATCCAATATGGCGATCAAATTAAAAAAAAGGTACTAAAATTAAAACGTTGATACTGAACGTTTTAAACATTGTCAAGGGTTAAAACACATTTCCAGTGGGTTTCTGGGGTTGCTGATTACGAATCTGATGTCAGATTTTCAAAATTCAAAATGGCGGTTAAGAGTTTCAAACAAATGCAATCATTTTTTTTTTTTAAGTTGGGCGCCATTTTGGATCCCCCAAACAAATATTCAAAAATCATGCCACGCTCAGAATCATATAATCCTTACTATGCAGAATTCTCCTTTCTGCGTTGCTGGAGAAGGGAGGCGGAACTTCTTTCTTGTTGACTTTTCTAATATAGATACATACATATTTATATAGTAGTTAGTATTGTTTACTAAGCAAGTAAAAAACCTTGAATGCTAAATACCTCAAAAACTAGAACACCCCCCCCCCCCTCCCCACCTAAAAGTGGGTATATTTGAAAATTGGAGGGCTCCGGCTTTCCAATGGTGCCACTTTTGCACAGTGCACCCTTGCTCTTGAATCATTTTCGCTTAAAAAAGTAAATTTGGAAACAAATCTTATGATGATTTCGTTTCTTCCAAAAAATGTTGCCCTTGCACGGTGCAAAATGTGTTTGATGTTACACTCAACTCTATAAAAAGGCAGGTTTTTGCCTCTTGTCCTTGTCTAGCTCATGAGCAAAGAAATTTTCGAATATATTTTATATGGAAAAAATTAGTAATACAGTCAGAAACAAGTAAGAAAATCTAAGTTCGGGTGGAGCCGAACATTAAATACCCGGCGCAAGTATTAAATATATGTTTTTTCACCTTTCCGAAAGCTACCGCTAGATGGTAAGCCGGCTGTATCAATTTTGAGTAAATTAGCGTCCTTAAATTTCGAAATATTGCAGTTTCTGAAATTTACCGTTATATGAAAAGCGGCCGTAATTTTAGTACGATTTCAATAATTTTCAACGTTTTGCTTTTATGTGGCAAGCACAATAAAAAATACCGAGTTTGGTACAAATTGGTAGAACGGTTACCGATATACATATATGTGATCATAAGTGGGCGGTGCCACGCCCTTTTTCCAAAATTTTACCACAAACGTATTTCTTGGTAAAGAATTGTTGCAAGCATAAATTTTGAATAAATTAGCTTTAATATTTACTGACTTATTGAAGATTTTGTATTTCTCTAAATTACCGTTATATGGGATGTGGGCGTGGTTATTGTCCGATTTTAAAAATTTAGTATGCTGTATCAAGGCCAACATCGGTGCCAAGTTTGGAAGAAATTGGTGCAGCGGTTACCAAGATATACACATGTAATCATAAGTGGGCGTGGCTGCGCCCATTTTCCGCCGCAGTTTTTCGCAGTTTTTGTATTTCTGGAAATTCCCGTTATATGGGAGGTGGGCGTGGTTACAGTCCGATTTCGCCCATTTTCAATACCATCCGTCCTACGCCAGAAAGAAGTGCACGTACCAAATTTCGTTAAGATATCTAAATTTTTACTCGAGTTATCGTGTGCACAGACGGACGGACAGACGGACGGACGGACGGACGGACAGACAGTCACCGCTTAATAGATTTCTCTTTTCATTCTGATCATTTATGTATACATTTGTCTATATCTATCTCGATTCGTTTTGCCTGTTACAAACAACCGTTATGTGAACAAAGTTATAATACCCTTGTGCACAAGCGCGCTCGGGTATAAAAAAAATATTAAAAATCAAAGCGTCTTCGTAGCAATTTAAAACTTAGGCTATCTGCACACCTGTCGTCCAATTGTGGTTGCGTTATCGTCTCGCCCTGAAATTTTGAGCCGTCATATGCATTTCAATGGAGGTCTGCACACTTGTCGTTATCGGCAAATCATGGAAGATGCAGAAACGGATAAGTACGACACTGTCGTTTGCTAATCGTTATACACGCCGTGTTTGTTCACACTTTATAGGAAAAATTTGTGAAAAAGTTAATATTTGCATGGAAATTACGTAAAAGTGAGTATTTCTTGCATAAAATCTGTGGAAATTATTCAAAACTGGATAATTGAAATAAAATTCAATAAATGTGAGAGTTTTAACTATCAAATATGACGAAATTGTAAAAAGTCTCTGCATGCGGCACTAAACACATTTCAGGAAAAGAAAAAAAGAGAGATTAATAAATTTTATGTCCAGAATTGTTGCAGCACAGTTCATAATTTTAAAGTTGCAGGTTTTTGTAAAATTTTCGCGAAAATATCAACCAAAAAAAACGGAAAATACCTTCTGTAAGCGAATTTTTAGACGTCAAATGAATTGAAATACCACGACCGAGTGTGCGAAATTGTAGTCGTCATATAATGGTTGCATCATGATTGTGACGATGAAGCAACTATGATTAGACGACCAATGTGCAGAAGGCCTTACATTTTATTGTACTAGAATTGAGTGGGTTATTAAATTGCATACCATACTCAAATTCAAAATAATCTGAATAAAAAGTTGAAAATTTATATGCAATTTTCGCACAAAGTTTGAAATATGGATGCGATTTGCAAAATATTTTTTTATTATTAATGCAAGTAATAAATATTTCAAATAAAAACTGATACTGAAACTCCAAAAGGACGTCATATTATTCGATTTAGCAGCAAATTTTTTCCGTTTTGTTAAGAATTCTCCAAATTAAACTTTGGAAATCGCCACCCATTTGCAGCACATGCCCGATTATTTTCGCGTTTGGGGCTCCATATGTCGCCTTTCTCCGATGCTCTTCGTTCTGTGGAAATCTGAAAAATTGGAAAATAGGGTATGGTTTTCCTAGGCCGAATCAAATAAAACACGCCATTCGTTTCTCTTTTGAATTTTGAAAAGTAAAATGGTTATTTTGGGTACATTCTCTCTTCGGATCTCTCTCTCTTTTTTTTCAAAACATCGGCACTCTGATGTTGGCGAATGTACTTTAAATGTACTAGCAATATATATATGTACATACATAAGCAATGTAGTATATGATATACATAGGCCTTCCTGCTCGACTCTCTACTCCTTTTTTGTATGGAGGTTGCTGGCCTTCTAAAACAGCTTCTCTTAACAATTCAATAAATCTTTCATCTTTGGATTCGATCCCTGGCCCAGGCAATATCTAATTTAGAAAAAGGTTTTTCTAACAAATGACCACACTTCCATTTGCTATTCGGGCAAGGATAATGTTCGGAGCCGGCGTAAAACTGTGGTCGCTCTATTTATGTAACAACATCACGACGCACACCACAATTGCCAAACAATTAGCAAAAGTGTAAAGGCCAAAATATTATTATTTTTACTAGTCTCATTAGGCTCTGGTAAAAGCAATAAGGATAAGGAATATTTCCCCGAAAAGTTTTTAACATTTCTAATAAAAGGGTAGCAGTAAAAAAATCCAGAAAAAAGCAACGAACCCAAAATTCCGAGGCTAAAGCAAAAATATAATTGCTAAATCTACATAACCTCCAAAAAGGCTCTTCTGGTCACACTGGTTGCTTTCCTGCATGAACGAAAGACACAAGATCACGCAAATAAAGAAAAAAGTTATTATATAGCTGTTTAAATCCCGACGCCATCTTTGTTGTAAGAAGTAAACAAGGAAGAGAATGCAGAAAACCGCGTTGAACGGATGAACAATCATTTTTAACCGACTTCCAAAAAAGGAGGAGGTTATCAGTGCGTCAGAATATTTATTTTTTTTTTTTTTACCACGTGAACCGATTTCGATATTGTTTTTGCATCGGAAAGTTAGTGTGGTCTCAGAGGTGGTTCCATACTAATCTGGTTTTATTTCCGATCATTGGATCAATATATATACATATATGTATATAGATATATATTTTATATATTTTATTTTTTATTAATAAGGCCATTAGAGTTTAATTTTATTAAAAACGTCAACAACAACTAACTGAAAGCAATGTAAAAAAAGAACATAAAAAATAATAATAGAAAAGAAATACATAAATGAAAATTTTACTGGGACTCGAACCCACGTCCTTGCGGTTCGTTAATCCGCATTACTGCCGTTTGTCAGGGCAAAATTATTAAGTGGCGAAACGAACGAACTCCAAGAGGCACAGCCAAACTCGCTATCGTCTATCCGTGCTAGCTAATTTTGTTGTTGCTTTCACATGCAACCGGAACTCAAACATAGCGAGCAGCGAAGTGGCGAATCGATGGCGGCTTAAGTAAGCATTTCCTTCGTTTCCTGTATGTGATACATTCTTTCTGTTTCCGTTTCGCACAAATCCATGTTCCACGTCCTTTTTCCTGTTAAAAAAAAATTGTTTAAGAGCGGCAACACTATGCGTGCTGGTAAACAGCTGTTCCAAAATAGCTACACCATCCATCGTCGGCGACGTGGAACAGACGAAAACTAAAATTAGAACAATAAAGTGTCAGATATTGGAAAAATGGCAATAAACACCATATTAAGCAGCTGGCGATTAAAAAAGTATTAGTGTAAATGTCCAGGAAATAATAGATTAGCAACAAGCTAAGAAAACAAAATATAAAAAAGTTACTTGTGCTGAAGTTCTGCAGGTATCGCTTGATACCACAGTGTTTTGCCAATGAAAAGTTGGTGGTGATAAGATTTCAAACAAAACCAGGACAGAGAAAAATAGGGACGACGCCGTGGATAAATTGCAATTATGTAATTCGGTTGAGGCGATGGACACCTAAATCTTTACCTCTCGGTGGTTAAAACTTAAGCGTTTTTTATACATTTTTCAAGGCATACATACATACATATGGATATATCTATTTTAATTGTACCAAAGCATTAGCAGACATGGATTTTTTATTATTTTTAACGGCTGCGGCGCACCTCTTCTACGCGCCATTCACCAAAGTAGAGGAGAGCTTTAATTTACAAGCAATGCATGACATACTCTATTTACGGCAAAATTTTTCTCAGGTTTGTTGCATATTATTAACTGTATTATACAGGTTTTTTGGTTGACTATTTATTTTGCATTTCTATAGTACGACCATAACGACTTCCCCGGCGTGGTGCCACGCACTTTCCTCGGCCCACTTGTTATAGCGATATTGTCCTCACCTTTTATTATACTTTTTGAAGCACTGCAAGTGAATAAGTTCTGGGCGCAATATGTAGGTAAAGAGAACATGTCCAGGCATACATTGGGATGCATAAATTACGTTTACACCTGAGTAATTTTATTAAAATTTTTTTAATTTTCATTTCATAATTTTAGTGCGTTTAGTTTTAGCCGCTGTAATAACAGCATCCTGGCACAACTTTCGCCGTGTGATAACCAAGCAGCTAGGTACTGAAGTGCGGCTATGGTTTACTATAATAACATTGACGCAATTTCATTTCATATTTTACATGAGTCGTCCATTGCCGAATATCTTGGCTTTGCCTGTTGGTAAGTTGATTGAGATAATGTAACATATTTATAGTGAATAAGCGTGCTGTTAATTGTAATTATTTCTTTTGCAGTGCTCTATGCTTTAGCATATTGGTTACAAGGTCAAACGAAACAGTTCATTATTAGTTCTGGTATTGCAATACTAGTATTTCGTTCAGAACTGTTACTATTCTTGGGGCTTCTGCTGGCGTATGACGTATTGTTCCGCAAGGTTTCAGTTCAGTGGTAAGACCAACCAACTTGCTCCGATTCGCTTGCTAAAATTTTATTTTTTTAATACAATATTAATACAATTGCAGCGTACTAAAAATAGCATTACCCGCAGGTTTAGCTATTTTGGCCGTCACAATCACTTTGGACTCATTTTTCTGGCATCGCCTCTTATGGCCCGAAGGAGAAGTACTTTGGTACAACACAATACTTAACAAAAGCTCCAATTGGGGTGTATCCTTTTCAAAATCTTAAAACAAAATTTTAATTATTTTTTCTCGTCGATATTAAGCCGTATGAGTGAAACAAAGCAATTGATTTTTCCTTAAATTTCAGAACATGGTGCAATAATTCCACCATTTCTCAGATCTTTTTCTCGATTAATGCCCGGTTGAACCAATAAGTTTTAAATTTCTCATACTGATAAAATTTAAAATTACACAATTTTGTTCGGATTATTCGGAAATTCAGACTACGACGGATTCAGTGATAGCCATGATTATATAATAATAATAATGGTATAATTCCACCACGCAGTTTGGTGAAACTGAGCATTATTCGGAAATTTTAAGAAAAAGCAATTGCTTAGATTATATTCATACGGCCCATTGTTATGTAAAATCTTTTACCGTAAGACCATTTTTCATCACTTTCGGTTACCTTAGCTTCGCAATTCGTAGACATCTCCCTTTTTATGGTATTTCTATTCAGCCCTGCCGCGAGCGTTGGGTGCCTCAATTGTTCTAGTTCCCTTTGGAGTTTATTTGGAACCACGCACACGCCCATTGGTGATTGCGGCATTGGCGTTTGTCCTTATTTATTCATTGTTGCCACATAAAGAGTTGCGTTTTATTGTTTACGTATTTCCAGTGCTCAATTTGGCCGCCGCATGCGCGTGTAGTCGATTGTAAGTCAGTTAATATGCCTTATAGCAATTAAAAAAAAAAAACGGTTTAATTCAACTTTTTAGCTGGCTCAATAGCGGAAAATCAGTTTGGCATCAATTTCTTGCATTTAGTGCTGGTGCACATTTATTAATCAATATTCTTATTACTGTGTTACTCTTGGTTGTATCAAGTACCAACTATCCAGGGGGCGTAGCAATGACACGTCTACATCGCTTGGAGGCCGAAACACCTAATGTGTTTGTGCATATAGCAAATTTAGCTGCTCAAAGTGGGGTTTCGCGTTTCCTGCAAATTCGAGACGATTGGCAGTAAGTTACCCAAACGTTTTTTGAGTATTTAATTAGCTTTATCTGTTTAAATATTTAACGAATTCATTTCAATTACAGCTATTGCAAAAACGAATCGGTAAATTATGGCCCCGGGCAAACGCAACGTTATACGCATCTCATGGTGGAAGCAAAAAACAAAAATAATATACAACTATGGTCTGATCTGCAGGAAGAGTTTGAAATTCTGGAGTTTGTCGATTGTTTCAATAACATTGGCATTCAATACAGCTCATTTGTGCCAATTCGCATCAAGACAAAGCCATGTATTGCCATTTTAAAGAGACGAAAACTTCCGGCAAATGCTATCAGCAGTAAACAGAAGGCAAAAGACGATAATAAATTGAAGAGAAAAAGTAAGAAGTCAGTAGGTATTCCAACGGCGGATGCACCTCTGAGTGGTGAACATATTTCAAAATTAATTGGGCTTGAAATACCAGATGACATGTATAACTTAGAAAAAACACTGAATAAACCTCTAGAAGATCACATAGAATTAGCAGATGATGCCGAAGCAAAGAAGTCAATTGAGGATGGTTACGTAGAAGACTGGACATTAGAAGTACTGGATGAAGAGGAGCTTGAAAAGCCGTTTGAAAGTCAACAACCTCAAAAGCAACAAACTTCTGTTGGTGTAGATCCCACCGAAGCCACCGAATCTTCAGAAACGTTAACACCAGAGCAGGATACTGACGACGAAACAGTCGACATGTCCGATCAGCTGACCAAGGAAATAAATTTTCAAGAACTTCGCAATCTTGCGCTGGGTAAAGTGAATCGAAAAACTAAGGCAACAAAATTGAAAATTCGACAGCTAATCGAACAGCATTACCGCTCAAAGGGGCGCCAAATTGAAAATTCTGCAGAAAAAGTGGAGAAACGACCCAACATTGGTGTCGCGCCTGGAACGCGCCAATCGGTTAAAGCCATTATAAAACAAGAACGAATTAAGGAAATGATTGAACAAATCTCTACAATGGACTTGACACGTATTTGCGACCTAGAGCGAGTATCAACCAAAGACTGTCTAAAACAGGTCATCGATAAACTGGATGTTGATGATAAGACGAAAAGCATATCGTGAAAATATATAATATGAAAATTAAATTATATTATTTAATATCAACATGTAAATGTTCGCTTTTATTTTTTTTGTTCATTACAATTAAGCAAACATTTATTAAAAAAAATGCCGATTTCAGTAAATGATATACATTGCAAAAAAATGGATTTGCAGTAGTAGTCCGAGCAAAGCCAAACCCCATGTTGCACGATACAGCATCAAATCTCTGCTGCCACCCTTGAGATGTATCGGTTTGCCGTCATTTTTTTGAAAATGCATTTGGAGTTGTTTAATTTTCTCAAAGCCAGGATTAGGTTTCTTCGAGGGACCTGCACTTGGGCCGCAAGAAACCGATTTTTTACCACCTTTTTCAGCACCTCCGACTGCACTCGCGCTAAATCGTCTAGTCTCAACTAATAAGCAGCGACTACTCCCTCGGATCATCGTCGGCTGCAATAATAAACGTGCATCCATATAAATATACAATTTTTAATTTCAAATACATAAGTATATTAGTCATATTCCTGCTTACACGAAACAATGCGAGCATCCTTTGATAAAGAAACAGTTCACGAAGAGCAAACAAACAATAATGAATATTTCAGTTTTGGCACTGATCTCGTAGGTAAAAAAACATGATTCAATAATGAATAATAATAATTTAATCATGGGTAAAAAATACCAAGCCGCTAGGTTAACATAAAGGTTGATTTGTCATGAATATACAGCACAAAAAATGTATAGTAATGTAGGAATAGAATGTGACCTTTATGCGAATACACTACCAATTGCACCATTCGCTTTCGTACTGAAGTCCATCCCTCTAGCTAGTCCATTTTAAATGGTTAAATCTGTGGCCATAAGCAATTACCACCAAAGTCGGCTTAAGAAAGAATTGAGTTTTATATGCTATGGTATTCGGAAACTACTAGGCATTAAGAGTATTCGCGATGCAAAGATCTTGCACAAGCTGGTACAAGAGAACACTCTTAATGCATATTTAAGTTGCGTTCGCCAATCCATTCGCTTCGCAAGTGATAATACCGCCCTTAATATACAATATTTAAGTTGCGGTCGGAGTCGTTATGCTGTCATAGCATGTTCAAATGTAAATAAAACACTAGTTTTTACCTTTTCCTTCAATTTTAATGAGGTTTAAAGGCCGATGTTTTTATATAAAGTATATTTCCTAGTTTTAAATGCATTTGCGCGAATGCTCAGCTGCTTACACAACATTTTAAATGGTAATGACAAACAAGAGGATATATTCGCCACTTCAGCATTCAGCATCATATGGACAACTGGAACAAATAAAACATGTAGCACATTAATTTTTTAGTACATACGTTGTTGTTAATAGCGCTTACCACACAAAACAAGGAAACATACAATTACATCAAGATTAGTCGTATATTTTTCTACTTTAGGAGCTTAATTTAAAACATTAATTACAAGAGTTTTGCTACGTAGCTCTTGTCATGCATTTAATCTTGGCTTTTTGGGACGCTCAAGTCGTAGAACAATTTAACCATACCACCAATACCGGCCAAACTCAAAGCGACGGTAAGACGATACAGAAGTTGATCAGCAAAAGATCCCTTGAGGAACACTGGCTTGCCATCATGCTTTTGGAAGTGCTCTTGCACCTTCTTCAGTTCGAAGTAGCCTTTATCAATCTCGTTTTTGGCTGCAGTACGACGTGCAGAGGTTGTGGTAAGATTGCGAACAACGACCTAAAATTTAAATAAATCAATTAAACATTTTTTGTTAAAAATTAAATTTCGATAAAACCCATATCTCCCGTTATTAGGAATCGGATCTTACGTAACATTAGCCAATCCTACATATAAAAGGTTTATTTCGACGAAGTCTTTAGTTTTTAAACAAAAAAAAGCTTTGTACTTACTCTCGACAAGTTAAGCATTTTGGCAGAGCTCATATTTTGTAAAAATTATATTGTACTTTGCAAAATTTGTAAATTTATTACAATTGTCGGAGGCTTACGATGTGCACAATAGAATCTTCATAAAAATTGACAGATTTTTGACGTGACCCACTGGAAACTGGAGTTTTCTTGGGCCTGGAAGAATGTAGACACAGGGTGAACCGGTGAATAATAAGAATTAATTAAAATTTGACATGAGTTAAGCTGGAGGTACACTTAGAAACAAGAAGCAACTAGTTTGTGCAGCCCTGATATTCATATAAATTTTTCAGGCGTTATGGGTCTGTTCGAGGCATGTAATCAAAGCGGCAATACTGCAGCACTGATGAAAATTTGCAAAACTGTTGCAGTTTTCCAACTGTTGCTAGAAATTCACACCGAACGTGATACTTTAATAATGCGCACAACACTGCGGTTGTGATTGCATCTCGTTCAAGCCTCTTAGCGTACCACAAAAAATTTTGAAAAGGTTTTCTCTAATAGCGGTCGCCCCTTTGCAGGCAATGGCAAACCACCGAGTATATTTCTGCCAGGAAAAACATTTTCTCGCCATTCGGACTCGGCGAAAACATCGAGGCACTCGTCACCAGTGTTGCCACTTGAGTTTATTTTTAGGTAACAAAACGCCTACCAAATCAGTTTCCAAACTACCAAATTTTTGTTCATTATTAAAGCAAGATTTCTTGGATTTACAGGGTTTTTAGCTACACGAATTGGCAGTATAATATTGTTTACAGTGTTGGTTAACCATTCATGCCAATCTTTAAGGTTAATCAAAACAAATTCGGGCTTTTAAACAAGAGAATTAACATATTGCGTAAAAAACTTTTGTAAAAACGTGATTATCTTTGAGTTTAATTCAATTCATATCAAACATTTTTAATGTTTAAAAAAAAACAAAATCAGACATTTTATGCATGTCAATAAAACAAAATTCCAAATCTTGTTTCAATTTGCATACTCTTACCCTTATTTTTACCAATACACTCACACTTTACAAACTGCCTATCACCAATTTTTCTTTCAAGACGATAGGCAATTTTTCGTTCAATTTCAACAGATGATCGATCATAGCTTTGGGAAGTGAGTTTGTGTTTGTAGAAAATTTTGTGCTTAGTAAAATTTAGAAAAAACAAAGAAAACTTATACGTGTGAGCAAAGTGAAAGCAATGTTTTCAACATATAAATCCAAAGTAAGTGAACAAATCTTAATGCTACGTTCGATTGAAATTTCAAAACATGTTTGCCTACCAAAAGCTTCATCAAACCAACCAAACTACCAAAGGAGAATGAAGCTACCAATTTTGGTCCAATGGGACCAAAACGGCAACGCTGCTCGTCACAAATTGGAGGAGTAGCTTGCCGAAACACTGATGAATATGTAAGCGCCAATCTATTATTATTCAGTCTTTTTGCGAGTGTCGTGTCGAATGGAAGTAATCTTTAGAGAATCGAGTCAGAGAATGTCTATAGACGTTCTCTGGTCGAGTCGTATCGAAAAGTACGTGGCATTGCCTAAAAATTCGATTCGACTACATAGTGTATTCAAATAGGAAAACTTGGCAGTATTGGATTGTGTTCGGTTTTCATCGTCTACTTATTTTAGAACGACAACAGGCAGTGCCAATGTTGTCAATGCGTACAGTTTAGTCTAATTTACAACATACGCAATGAGGCTGATTATATCTTGGCGCTACAGCCGACATAAAAAACATACATATTTCTGAATAGAGCTTAATTCGAGTTTTAACGTTGAATTTAGCTATAAAATCTGCGCGCGAAGTGCAGTTGATTCCAAGATAAAGAGGTGGGTGGCGTATTCCGAAAACCGCTACCAAAGAACGTAGATTATATGAAGGCACAACTCGTTATAATTGTAGCGAAAATGGGTAACAGGGGCGTGCCTTCTCTTTTGCCTTCGTACGTTTTTTGATTGCATGATTGGATTTTACAAGGCGAACTTCGCACGGTGCGTAGGCCACGGGCTGAGTCAGCTAGGGCCACTGATAGAAGTCTGATGAGGAAATTTGGTGATTTCCGAAATAGCTATCACTTCTATCATTGATTCAAAATTATTGTTGCTTCTCCGCATAGTCCATTCTGGCATGTGTTTCTTTCGATGTGTTTATGCTCTGTCTGATTTGTCCAGTAGGACGTTGCTCAAACTGTTTGTGTTGTGTATTTCGCTCTTTAAAAACTTTTCCAAAAATGCGACCCTGCAACTGTTCGTTTCCAGTTTGATTCATATGCAACCTGGCTATTGCGACGAAACAATTATTTTGCTTCTAGAGATTTCAATACTATAAGTTAAATAAAAGTAAAATAATTCTGTGGGATAAACGAAATTAATAATGCCGAAATATTATTGCGACTATTGTGATACATATTTGACTCACGATTCACCATCTGTGCGAAAAACGCATTGTACCGGCCGCAAGCATAGAGACAACGTGAAATTTTACTATCAAAAATGGATGGAAGAACAGGCGCAACATTTGATCGATGCCACCACAGCTGCTTTTAAAGCTGGTAAGATTACTCAAAATCCAGGCGTTTCAATACCACCACCAAATATGGGCCCACCACCACGTCCTGGTCTTATGCCCGGCGGACCAGGCATGCCACCAATGATGATGGGACCTCACGGAGCTATGCCACCTCCAATGATGGGCATGCGGCCACCACCAATTATGGGACCAATGGGTCCAATGATGGGTCCCCCTCCACCATTAGGCGCAATAGGTGTACGGCCACCAATGATGAACGGGCCTCCTCCTATCAAATAACAAAAGCGCAAGGACTAAGAACTAGCCTCTAGAAAAATATTCATTCACATTTCAAACTTTACCTAATATTTCATAAGTTAATAAATACAACTTCAAAATATGCTTAATTGCCACAAGTGTTTTTATTTGAAGATCAGGAACTTGATAAGTTAAAATAAGATAATAATAAGAGTAAAAATATTACGAGATTATGTATTCCAACTCTTCACCAACCCAGAAAGTAAAAAACAAATACCCTTAATGATTGTATATGTCTATATATTTTGCCATTTAATTTTTCTAATTATTAAAATGCACATCATTCTTATACTTATGTAGGTATATATGTCAATAAATTTAAAATAAAAATCATTACAATTTAAATAAAAGTACTTATAAGAGCTTGGTTTGAGATAATAAAACAATTTCTGTTTGGTCAAAAATATAGAGAACATAGTGATGCTGCAAACTGACCATACGAAAATGCAAGTCCATAATTTAATAATACATTATGCTATATTACTTATCCTAAAAAATCCGTCCTTTTGCTAGGAGAAGTCGTCACGGTAGGCCGTTGCTGCTGCATTGAGGCTTGAATCACTACTTCAGAGCGTTTGTACTCCCTGTCAATTTCAGATAAGTCTAAGTCAGCCTCAATTTCAAGTACCTAGGACGCATTTTAAGTGTTATTTTTAAATCACGATAAAAAATTAAATATTCTACTTACTTTAATATTTTTACAGTCTACTCTTTTTCGAATCAACCAATCCTCGTGAAGTTCATGTAACTGCTTTATATACTCATAGGGAACACATGCCTCTTCGGAACGTGACCGTTTACGTATGCGCTCATATGCAATTTCAGGTGTCGTACGCAAATAAACTGAAAATAAATATAAAAATTAATACATATATCCCTGCTAGCTACTAAGGTGTGAACCTATTAAATCTGCTTGTATGTGGGCGATTTCCTCGACATAGTTATACCATTCTTTCAATATTTCATACATGGCGTCATGAATCAGACCGCTTTTATGTAAATTCTCAACGAAGCAGTACCTTGTAACAATATAATAGGTGTTATAAAATTACTAATATATTTACCCATTTACTTACTTGGCACTGTACAAAGACCGTTCCAATATTTTAATAGGTTTATTTGTCAGCTTTGTGTGACGCTCCAACATTGTCAGCATTACGTACGATTGAAATGTCATCGCCCAACGCTCTGGATTAACGTACATTAGTTCCTGAAAACAACAAACAAAAAATGAGACTCCGTGAAATGTATGTATATTAAAATGTACTTTGTATTTCAACTAACCAATAAATTGTGTCCTTTAAAATTACGCCATTTGTCCACCGGCTCAGCAATGGCGCAGACTTTGTCTTCGAATTGCTTAAAATGTTCGATAAACGTTGTCTTTCCACTGCCAATATTTCCCTCTATTAAGACAGTGAATGGTTGAGTGCCAACTCCATATTTTGGTACCGGAGCACTAAGTGGCTCGAAGGACATCATGGTGGACAATGAACGTACTGTAACGGATATATGTAGATCTTATTATGAAGATACAATCCTAATGCATTTATAAAACGTATTTCTTAGTTTAAGCAATTTCTTTTGTTAACAGCCGACCGCCTAGTCACACTAAAATTATCTCATGTTTTCATACTCCGAAGAAAACCGACTCGTAAAAAGGCGCCAAAACGTATCTGTCGAATACATGTTTGGGAGCACTTATGCATGATCAAATGCCAACGATCTTGTTCTTGTTTCTTGTTTAGTATATTTTGTAGGTAAATGCATGCGCGTAGTGTATGCACCATGTCATTACAAGTTTTTCAAAAGTGCATTAACCCCAAATTCCACGTTTATCTAAAACGCTAAAATCTATGTATTTCTGAACTGATGTTAATCAATATGTATATTTATTGGCATGGTGAAATTAGACAAGGGGTACTAATAAGTGCGAGAAGAAAGATTTGACTTTATTTTATATGAAAATTTGCCTTATAAATTATTATTATATTACTATTTAACTACAAATCCTCTTTTTATCAGAAAAAAAATTATTTCTGAGCTCAGGTTAATTAAATAGGGTTAAGGAAAATTTTGCGATAGCTTTTGGACCTATTATCTGTGAACATTCCCAGTATTTAATATCAAAAATGACAAACTTTAAATTGACACTTTTAAAGAACGTGTGCGATATGTATTTACACTTCTATGGATGTGTATTTACGCGCCAAATTACTGATTGTATTTGCATAGGATTAAAATATTAAAACATTTCTTTACACCGAATTCAGTAATTTCGACATAACTCAACATATTTGTATACATGTGCCGATAGGAATTTGTACCTCCTTCCAACCCACACTATTTCAATATGGTTAGTAATGTACATTCTGGCCACTTACCCAATATACGACGCAACATAGTCAAGCATGAAAAATGTTAAATGTTAAATATGTATTTTAGTAAAAACTTTGCAGTGAGCAAATCTGCATTTTCCATAGCGAATAGGTTATTGCAAATAATAACAAATGAATTAAAGTGCATGCCGAACAGCTGATCGACATCAGGTGCTAGAGCTGCAGCAAACCGTATGTATTCGTTACTGAGTAACGAATACAACACCTGACTCGAAGTACCGAGTCGTTACTCACACAATAATCTCGTTACTCTCATATTCCGTATATGCACCATTAAAGGTCTGATTATGCATACTTCGCATAACTTCGCACAATCTTTTGTACCAGTGCAATAAAAATGCAACTTAAGAAAACGTGAAGCAAAATCTAAACTCAACAGATTTCTAAGTTTTTGAATGTTCTGCTAATTTTTGGGTAATGGAATACAAACAAAATATGTGCGAAGTACATACGAAATTGCAGTCTGAAGTTTATGCGAAGTTATGTGAAGTGTGCATAATCGGACCATAAGGTCGGTGTTATGCAGAAATTTTTTTTTGCAAACTGCGTGCAATTGTTGCAGCAAACTCGGGGAGAGCGAGTTTGGCGACTCCCACAGCAAACTAATTTTGTTTGGTCAAACTGCAGCAAATTCGGTGTTGCCATACATAAAATTTTAGACAATTCTTGCTATACACAAAAACTGCCGTGATACCGAAAGCCAGAAAACTGAATTTATGCTGTAAGAGCTTCAAAGATTAGGGCACAGTTAATTGCCTATACGATATCATAAAAAATATATTAATTGTGCGCATTATGTACATCTGAAATTCTCATTTCGTGTTGGCAATAGCCATGAAAACCACAATGAACGTGCAACCCTGTGCCAAACTCGACATAACCAACTCCGAGCAAACTAAGTAGCCACCATTTAATTTGGCAAGCAAAAGTTTGTCTGCATAACGTGAGACAATACAAAACAACATATTGTGCGGGAACGAAACTGTTGTTCATATCGATACGATTTTTCCCTGCCTAGATGTATATTTAAGTCCGTTCTTAATTCTTTTTATTGTCAATTTGTTGTGTAATAATGTGTAAATTCTATTTGGCATTTGTGTATCTGTACCCAAATCTCGTTGTTATCTAGTCTGTAAGATATATGTACATCATAGACTGAAATAAACATAATAATAATATCTAAAGTGTGTTGCGTGTACGTACGTACGAACGAACATTTCCTTACGCTAGCATGATCCAACTACACAAGATGAAGCAAAAGAAAAAAGTAATTTTCTGGCTGACGTTTGTAATTTCGGCGCCATGTTATTTTCTTTGAAAAGTAAACAAAGAATATGAAGACGAAGCATAAAGAAAAAAATGCAAACAATTTTGTAGCTCATGCTTGTGCTAACCAATTATTATTTTTGTACGTGTTTTTGCAACCAATCACCGCGAACTTTATTTTAATTACATTTGCACAGAAAATTGATTGAAAATCTCTCAAAAATTACTGAAATAAACCACCGACAAAATAAACATAAAGAAAGAAGCAAAACAGAAATAGGAAACTTAAAAATTACGAACGTCACACACTTTTTCTCAATTGCTATTACAAATGGCTGCTTCTCAACCGGTCAGATCTGTTCTAATTGGTTCATGTTTACGTTGCGATGAATCGTGAGAGGTAAAAGTGCTTGATTGTATCAAATTGTTCGGATCGATACAAAAGTATGGTGCGTGTATACATACACATGAATGCATATGTACGAACGAACATTTCCTTACGCTGCGAGATTCGTTGCGGTGATTCGCGCGAGGTACAAGTGCTTGTATCAAAAGTAACGAGTAAAGTAACGATTCTAAAGATACGGGTGTTGATTGGATTAGTAACGAGTACATACGGGTACACAAATTTTCGTTACTTTTACAGCTCTATCAGGTACGCACAAAAAGATTTGGTAACACTTATTTAAAACTCCGAATATAGGGCGCCGTACACACACACATTTACCGCTCAAATATTTGAACAACTTTCTTACCAAGTTTACCTCTCATCTCCATAGGCAAACGCCCATTGCCCGCCAACCACAGTATATACACAGTAAGAAACCTTTTCGCAGTTTTTCACCAATTGGCCCCTGAGGAGTACTTTTGGGTTGTGTGTAGCGTTTTCGGTTTGCGCGCACGGCAATACTTACTGTGAGGAATTTCGCCTCATGACTAGAAAAAGGTCTTTTCGAGGATAAAATATATATAATGGTGTTATTTATGAACAAAATGTAGGTTAAGTACAATATCAATGCTTAATTAAAATTAATATCAATAGTTAAGTACATAATTAACGCATGTGTTTCTATAAACTGGAAACTCACAACGTATGTTTTGTTAAAGAACGTGAATTTTGTAAGTTTATCAAGAAAAACTCAAAGCTGAACAATATCGATATCGGAAAAATCGATGTTGAAGATCCTACTCCCAATTGAATAGAATATTAGACCTGCCTGTCAACTCACTTAATTGTTTTTTTTTTCCATCTTGTATATTTACTGAGGATTAAAACGGCATGCCGGTCGACTCAAGCGGTTTGTCAAACTTAAGAGCTAAATTAATCACGCAAGCTGCTGATTAAACCTACTTTATTATTTTCCCATACAATTTTTTGTAGATTAAAAATAAATTTCACCTTAAATATCGATATTGCGGGTAAAGTATCGATGTCTTCGATATATCGACCTTGGAATATCGATTCAAAAAATCGATTATCGTGCCGTGAAATATCAATATTCAGAATAATCGATACGATATCGAACATTCCTAGTGTGTAGCCTCATTAGCATCACAATCGGTATTTTGACAGCTCAAGGCAGTGTTGCCAAATGTCGTATTTCGTAAAACCCAAGAAAAATCGAAAAAAGCCCCAAATTTTTTATTGGAGAATTTAATGGATTTTGTATGCAAGTAACAGCAGACCACACATAACGGTTTAAATACAAATTGTAAACAATAAAATTAAAATACAGAAAGCATATTGCCACACTCAACTTTTAATTAACATCATAAAATGCTGGTGCTTTTTAATATTCGTAAAAAATATAACAAATTCAGCTCAAACCAAAGATCTAAAGATCGATTCTTGGTCCCAGTAACATGGACGTTTTGCCAGGCAATGGCAAATTATCGTATGTAATTCTGGCATGATTTAAAATGCTGAAATATTATAAATATTTTTTGACAAACATATGATTGTCATTGTGCCATGATTTTGTTTCCATTTTTGCAAAGTTCCTTACGAGACTTCCAATTGCTCTAAATTTAACTTCCATTTTTGTTTCAGACTTACAGGTTTGATGTCCTAAAAATAAAAAAAGGACCAAAAAACGCACCAAGTACCAAACTCAAAAATTTTCGCGTTCTGAATTAAGAAAAGCACTAAATTTAGTGCGAAAAGCACCGCTTGGCAACAGTGGCTCGAAGGTCAGGTGATGATTGTTTTGTTTGTGTTTTGTTGACACGCTTGGCGATAAACGATTGGGGCTACTTGAGCTCCACTTTATTTTGACAGTTTGCAGGCAGCGGACCGTTTTCAATTATCGCGCGGTGTAAACAGCTGACTATAAGCGCCGTTGTTCGTGGAAAAAAGAGTAAAATATTCAGGAACTTTAAGTCAACACGCTTCATTTAATTGGTGATAAAAGAGCTGGAAGAATTTACTTTGTTCAAGATTGACTTTGTTTGCAACTATTTTGATAACAAGTGTTAGGTAATCTATTATCACAAGACGAGGAAAAACATAAACAAGAATGGTTTCATATTTCGTACCGCGTGGGCGCTTTCTGATGAAAGCAGGTAATTTAAGGCAAGCGGCTCATCTAAAGCAAGTCCAGCAGCAACAAGAGCCAGGAAAGTGGCCTATGTTGCGCCACTTTCGCCAATCTTTTTCGACAAAGTTGTGTCGGAATGGTGCAGATGCAGAATCAAAACAAGGGAATATAAAATCGGTTGTTCGTTCCAATAACACATTGGGCAAGAATGCTATTAAGGATGAAAGAAGGTTTAACAAGCAGGAGCTGGTAAGCCGCAGTGTTTGGACAAAATGGACTGGATTTCTTTTACGCTGGACACCTGTCGGCATTTGCCTGTTTGGAGTCATTGAGTGGCAATGGCACAAGCAAAAATGTAACACTGAAAACTTGCCTCGCACTGCTTCCACTTTTCAATCAAAAGTATACTGTTCTTTACCACTGCGCATAATAAGTCGATGCTGGGGGTGGTTAGCTGCCTGTTATGTACCTGTTTCACTCCGACCTTACATATATGGTTGGTACTCAAGCATATTCGGTGTGAATTTGGAAGAGGCTTTGCATCCTGACTACAAATACTACAATAGTCTCGCAGAATTTTTCACGCGATCGCTGCGAGAAGGCGTACGACCCATCGATCAAAAAGCAGCAATTGTTTCTCCTGCGGATGGACGAGTTTTACATTTTGGATCTGCACAGAATGCATTAATAGAAGAAGTAAAAGGTATAAAGTATAGTGTACAATCCTTCTTAGGTCCAGTTACGTGGCGCGATCGCTTAACCGGTGACTTCACAGAAGAGTTAAAAGAGCACAACGATGGCTCAACCGAGCTTTATCAGTGCGTTATATATTTAGCACCTGGGGATTATCATCGTTTTCATTCTCCGGCTGAGTGGCAACCTAAACTAAGACGTCATTTTTCCGGAGAGTTGTTATCAGTCAATCCATGCATAGCTACATGGCTTCCAGAACTCTTTTGTCTCAACGAGCGAGCTGTATATTTGGGAAAATGGAAACATGGCTTTTTCAGTTACACAGCAGTGGGCGCGACCAATGTGGGGTCTGTGCAGATATACATGGATGAAAGTTTGAAAACGAACCGTTGGACGGGATTGAAATTAGGAGCTTATGCAAATCGGCATATATATGATGAGACTCCCCTACCGAAAGACAAATCTTTGGGGCGAGGCGAATTGCTGGGACAGTTTAATATGGGTAGCACAATAGTGCTTTTGTTTGAAGCGCCTACAAACTTCCAGTTTAACATTAAAAATGGACAGAAGATACAGATGGGGGAAGCCCTAGGCACCCTGGAGTAAACCAAATTTGATTAGCCACTACTAGTGGCCTTAAGCCGAAAAACTTCTTGATATGAAGACAACTGCAAATGTTGCGATTATAATATAATCGTGGCGCCAGTCGAAATATTTGAAATGATCTACATATGCATGCATGCGAAGGCAACTAATTGTGATGCCTTCTAACTTGTTAAGCAATGTAAGGGCTGCTTTTATCTTTGATTATAATTTTTATCTTTAAATATGGTTATCATAGCCGTTTGCCAAATATAGAACTTTAAAACAACATCAGTCGTTATTTATTTATGTACTAAAAATAATAAGATTCTAAATTAAAGTTGTGTACTTCTAGGCTTTAAGGTTGGGAGCAGTAATCAGGGCTATCACTGAGACCATCGTACTTTCATTTTTCGAGAAATCTACAAAAGTGTTATCAGTGAATTCGAATAGCTACGAACGTAGCAATACTTTAAATACATACGTTCGAAGGAATTCGAATTCGCTGAACGAATTTCGTAGAATTCACGAAAATCGCGCTCCGATGGATTCAGTGATAACCCCGAAAATGCGAACGCTTCAGTTTGTTTATTTTATGCTACCATAAGTATGATAAATGTAATGTATTGGAAGTTATTTTTGAAACAAATCTCTTGTAGTCATATATGTATGTACATATCTACATACATATTTGTATTATTTGTTATTGTGTACCGCTCGAACCATTTTGGGATGCATATTATTGAGATATTTTAGTTTTTAACAAGAAATACGAAATAATTAAAAATGAATGTGTTTATTATTTTATTGCAAACAACTTGGGTGAGAATGGTGTTGATTAGTAATGATCTAATATGGTCTGAAAGTTGGTTCCATATGAATTTGGTCCAGGTACGATGATTCCGGGGCTCTTTGATTTTTATTGTCACGGTTGAAGTCTGTCGTATTTTGGGTTTTCAGGCAGGTTCTGCAATTCACTTTCGAGTGAATTGCAACCGCTGCCAATTTAAATTTAATTTAATTTAAAATTAATTTAATTTGATTTAATTTAAATTGATTGACATTCACTCGGAAGTGAATTGCCTGTACATCATGGTTTTAATTATTATATTTTCAAATTAAAAAGGTGAGTGGGGCGAGTTATCCTAGCTCTGTTTCAAAGGTAGTACCCAGATAGATTTAATATTCGAATATCTCCCGGTTATTAACCGGATGTCCGGATACAAAAAAATAATCAGCCTTATTCTGCATTTCGACTCGATTCGAAATTTTCTCCGTTTGACAACTTTGGTATTCTGCGTTCCGTTTCATTTCGATAAATATTCGAGATTTACGATTATGCCTGTTCTACACTTCGATCGTAGTTACGTTTTTCTAAGTTGCAAATTTGTTGACGGGGAATTTTTCGTTTGTAATTATCACGATTTTGTACGAATTATCACGATTTTTGCCCAAATCGCGTTCGTGCAGACCAAAAAATTATCCAACACTCAAAAATTGTGAGAGCAAAGTGACAGTTCTCTTGGAGAGAAGTTGCAAATTCTTGCTGGAAAAAATTTGCAAACACGAAAAACATGTGGTTGTGGCGCATGGTTGCATTTTTGACTACAATAATTTGAATAAATTAGTTCGTTAAATTTAAAAATTTATAAACACGAGCGATTTTTTTATGAAAAAAGGAAGTAAATAATTGTTGGTATAATTAATTTAGTTAATTCCAATGATTTGAACTTAATTCGGCTGAAAAAATGGTATTCGCAATCGGAATGCAATTGCAACCAGAATCGATTTAAGAAACCCGACAGCTAGTACGATGAAGAAATTGAAATGTATGTTAAAGAAAGTCAGAACAACAAGAAATATACATGTATATCCTGTTTTTGGCCATCCGAAAGAATTTTAAAAATTCTATAAAAATTGTTTATGTTTAAAATGCAACCGTGGACGCCAGCTGGCAGCGAAACTTGCAAATTCCTGCAAATTTGCGTTCGTGCAGAAATTTGCAAGTTTGTCAACATGAGAGAGAATTTGAGAGAATTTTTTCTTACTCTCTGATATTTTGAGTGTTGGATAATTCATGCTGAATTTTCGACGAACAAACCTATTGCCATTCGTACTGTCATGTAATTGAGAATAGAAATCGCTGCATCTTTTAGGCGCATCAATATTACATAGTTACATCCCGAGCTAATAAAAGGAAGGTAATACAAATAGCTTAAATCTAAATAAATATACTACTACATTCCTAGGCAACCAGCTGATTTGGAAGATGTTTTCGCTCTTCCTATTCTTCTTTCGATTCGATCGTAACTTAGAATACCAAATTACGATTGTAGCGGAGCAGAATGCGGGAACGTAATCGAAATGCAGAATAGGGCTGATTAATCTCCAGTTTGTTTACTTTAGCGTGTGCTGACTATGGTTGCCGTATGTCATTTTTCGTTTATACCATCATAATTGTCTTTTAAATATACCACAATAGAAAAAATGCAGCAAGCTAAAATTATGCTGGCCGAATTTGTCAGTTTTGGTAGGTTGATTGTTGATATTAAAATTTTATAATTATAAATGTATAAATATCATCTATATAAATGTACATCTGTGTTATCTACTATTTTTTTTTTTGATCAAGGATGTGTCTTTGGAGGATATTCTCTTTTATGAGAAACATATTTCATTCACTCCGATATAATTCATTTTGTATTTTAAAAAGGTTTTTCGATTCCAAAAGTATGCAATTGTGTAAAATGCAAAATCGGCGGAAAATGTACTAAGCAGAAAATAAATTGCCAAATGACCAACCATTGGCAACTGTGGAAGTGATCAGCTGTTTCGAAGGCTGCAAGTTTTTGCAAATTTTGCGTTCTCGTACTTCTGTGGGTATTTCGTCTCTTTGAGAGCGGATGCTGCTAAATTCTCCGAATTTTTTCTGCTGGATAGTTTTGTCCCCTCAGTACGAGTACACACCTATTTAAGGAACTGCTGTATATAATTTTTATTTTTGTACAAAAATTCTTCATTAAAAAATGATATCTAAAGTTCCTAGGCTCTCTAGATCGTTTGTAAAGCGTTATGTAAACATTAATGGTATGGAATCTAATTTACAAACATACATGTCTGATTATCTTGATGTACTTTGGTATTTGCAGATCATGCTGTGCGAGATTTTGCAATTGCTTCAAGCAACCTGTGGCATTCAAGTATCCAACAGCGAGTTTCTCTTTGCCCAAACAAATGCCGCCCATGGAAAACCTGTATGCAGAATATGCATTACAGCACTGAAAAAATACGTCAACCAATACCGGGCGTAGAATATGGCGATATCAAAGATTTACCAAACCACCCAGAAAAACTGTTAATTGATGTGCGTGAGCCACAGGAACTCTTAGAAACTGGAAAAATTCCAACAAGTATAAATATCCCACTGGAATCCGTAGTGCAAGTATTGGCCGAAGATGTTAAACCGCAGAGATTTCAATCGAGGTACGGTCGCAGCAAGCCTTCTATTCACGATGAGATAATTTTTACCTGTAAGCTGGGAAAACGTGCGCTTAAAGCAGCAGAAATAGCAAATGCAATGGGTTATACAAATGTAAAATACTATCCCGGATCTTGGGAAGATTGGGTCAAAAATGAAAATAAGCATTAATTTCTGAATATGCCACATAGTAAATTAACATCTTGCGTAATGCAGATAACAAATTTCAATCTCCTTAACTCGATTCAAAGTTACGTACACATCTATGTATGTACATAAGTATATATGCACATATATCACAAGGTTTTAATTAGCACTGCACATTTGTATTACTATAAATGAAAATGCATACATAAATACATACTTACATACATATAAGTATATGAGAAATCATTGCATTTAAATTTAAAATGTTTAAGTTTTCAAACTGTTTTAAGCTGCACATATTGCTCATTTACTTCAAAAGTTTCATAACTTCAAAAAGCTAAACTCGAGAACAACGGTTTTTAATTGACATATACTCCCAAGGTAAAAATGAATAAATATCGCACGTTTAATAATATAGAGATGCAATTAAAAATTTACGTTTTTGGAGATTCCATCAAACCGTTACATAATAAGCTTGATAAGGAGAATATGTTCAACCTAACAGATGAGTAAACTTTCCAACTTTTCTATATTTTGGTATGAATTGATAAAACATTGATGGAATTATGAATTAATTCTTTATATCTGGCGCGTTTTTTTACACGCATACGTATGTACATTAGGGTGGTCTTTAAAAAAGTCAAATACGCGATTTTTTTCAGTCTCACTCCTTCAATCGGTAATACCACGATCACAGGTATCACATACAAATTTTGGTCGCGATTGGAGTCGGTTAAGGCGTGTCGCACTGGATACCCAAAAAAATGAAAATATTTTTTGTTCATTCAATACCCAAAATCGGTACTACTAAAATCGAAGATATCACATAAAAATGTTGGTCCCGATTGGAGTCGGTTAAGACGTCTTCATAGGGTAATCTGAATTTTGACCCCTGTGCGCCACGCCTTAATCGACTCCAATCTGGGCCAAAAGTTATATGTGATATCTTCGACTATATAATTTTAATTTTTTGGATCTCCTTATAGGAATCTGAACTTTGCCTCTCAAATCTGATATACAAATTTGCATCCTACATTTAAGGACCCCCCTAGTGGTCATATCTGCGCTTAAAAATTGTATGGATGTTTTGATATTTATTAAAATACAAAACAACTCAGGTGATAGTGTATGAGGTTTGTTTAAAGTCTAATATTTGAGCGAAGAAATATAAAATATTGAGCTATATATTAACAAAAATGTCAGAAAATAAGAGAATAAATTTCGGTCCAAATGAAATCGATTTTCTGGTGTGCCTCTTCGTATTCCGAATCACTATAATCTTCCCAACTCAAATCAAAATCCATTTTGTGCCTTTATTTTATTTTTCCGACAAATTGTTATGCTTCTCAATCGACATTTATCATAAGCATCGGTTTCCTAAATCAGCTGTTTTGCGACTTAGTTCACTTTAAGTTGCCGATGGCCGCGACTTAAGTCTAACTTAATTGAACTTAAGATTTGCTCAAAAAGTAGTTGGTGAAACGCAGAATCTTAAGTTAGACCTAAGTTCAACTAAAAAATGCATTGTAAAACCGGCCCTAAGCAACAAACTTTATGAACTTATGAATAGTTATCGATGAAAATGGAAATTGTCGATGATTGTTTTAAACGTAAAGCGTAGATGTATATGCGTGTAAAAAAACACAGCTATTTTTAAACGTGCGATTTTATTCTAGTGAGATACTGGTAATGGATACAGCTATAAAATTTATACACAGCATAGGAGAAGATGTAGTGGAATATAACGCATACTTAGCTCAAAACTTATATTTTTGATTATGGCGCTATTGAAGTAAAGGCGGATTCATTATTTTGTTATGCACTTTCATGGAAGAAAAGTTCTAAACTAAAACTATGAATCCGTTAACGATATGTATGTATGCACATTCATATTTTTATAATAAAAAATTAAGACAATCGTGGTCTTAAAGTATTTTAAGTGTGCTACTTCTTTCGGCGCCTCATACCGTACACCCTTTGGGGGGGCATCTTTGTATAGATTTGTGTTGACGACGTCACTAAGCATAAGTGAAAGAGAAAAAACTAAATTTCATTGCATTGCAATATTTTTTAAGTTTAATCAATTGAAAGGCTCATATTTAATCTTTTGAAATCTCAACCAATGCAGTCTTCTCTTATACAGTCTGAGTAATGTACACATGTGGATGTATTCCTCAGTGTTTAATTATCCTTCCTATAATAATGTAAAAATTTTAGAAAAAATAATGGGAAATTTGAATCAAAAGGATGTCTTGAGTTTATAACGTCGTTGGAACTGACATCGATGTATCGTCAATTTAGCAATAATATGCGCAAATACAAATTGGTAAAAATAAGATTTTTTCGAATTCTTATTTGCACTAATTGGTATTTGTGTGGTGTATTTTGCGCATTAGAAAATTGTATGCATCGATTTTTGAACCGATGTTATCGATGTTTCAAAAGCATCGATGCATCGTTTGCATCCCTACCTCTAAACTCAAGAATAGGAATGGTAAAAAAATTAAAATAATCGATTAATTAATCATATCGTCGATGTTTTTGTAAAACCGCCTATCGTACGGCACTCAAATTTTACAGGAGAGCTTATTCTTTGAAGGCATTGCCTTGATAGGCGGTATTTTCTCTAGCTTTTATTTTCTGTTTTTTATTTTTTATCTGTTGTTTTAATAACGATTTAACCGTTTTTGTGCATAAATCTCGATGCCTGGAGTTCAGGGTTACCAAATCTCATTTTTGTCACACCGGCGATTTAGGCCGGTTGGTGGGCGGTCGACGATATGATTAATCATAAGTAAAAAAAAAATTAATTGCAGTTATTTGGTAAATAATCAATGAATCGAATTTTTAAAGGCACAGTGAGTATTCACAAAAACACTTTTCCATAAAAAAATGTCTAATCCTCTTGTTAGTTAGCTGTAAATAAAATAAAACGAGAATTTTTAGTGGCGAAAATTATTAATTATTTAACCAAGTTTGCAAAAACAAAAGTCTGATAAGCATTTTTTT